GCTTGATTGATATAGATATATCAATCTGCAGCTCCTCAGAACTCCCACGTCCAGGCATGGACTGGGGTATGGACTGGGGTATGGCCTTAGAATGACAGCTGCCAACTGTCTGCAGAGATATCTGTTGAAAACCACACTTGACCGGTCAGCCATCAAATTGGCCGACCGGCATTAAAAATGGCCGACCGGCCATCACATTTGGCCGATGGCAACAAAACACAGCCGGTGGCCTCAAGCCATGGCCGGTAGAGTGTGAGGATGGCCCAAAAGCCATTCCCTGCCCTCCAAAGCAAAAACACAAGTGTTTGGTGCAAAACCAGACACAAAACAGTCGAGCCGAGAGATCCTGAGGCAAGGCGCGTAGCCGAAGCCTCCGGAAACTCAAGACGAACACAAACAAAGATGATCACCAAGTGTTCAAACGGTGACGTCCAAGTCTTGAGGACGGTCAAAAATGGGGTGTCTACAGTAACCACTAGCTCACCAAACAATCTCATATTAAAACATTAGAAGATATAAAAGTACCAAAAATAGTCATACATATACGTGAAATCATATCATGTCAAAACCATATGATTCTATTACATAATCTCTTGAACCTAATTTATTTTAATTAACCACAACTAGTTAATTTAAATAAATAAACATGTTTCAAAAGCAACATGACATCCTTTTCAATTCATTCAATTGCCCATTTGTCAATGGAATCAAATAGTTAAACAATTCATAATGACATTGAACAAATCATCAATACATTTTATACAGTTTTATGAGATGAATGCATATGCCATGTCATGCTCAAAATATTTTTCTCATCTTTTCAAAATTTTATGCACAATGCCAATTTAAAAACATATTAATCCAACAATTTCAATAAAATTCCAAGGTGGTAAATACAACTCAGGTAACCCCTAGGCTGGTGTCTGCAAGTAGACTATACAAGTACTACCAATTTTTCATTTTTACCAGTATTAACTGGAAGGCTCGACACCTATAATCTGTCATTTTTACCAGTATTAACTGGAAGGCGCGACACCTGTCATCTACACCACCTTTCAAGACTTACAATCGTATTTACCCCAAAATCATTTCATAAAAACTTGTTTCCCAACATTCATTTCTCAATGCAAAGTTTTCAAATTAAATTTCAAAGCTCATCATTATCAAATGAATTGATATGACAATGCAATGGTTAATAATACAATGCAATATTTCTTTCACTTTCAATACTTCCACACAATATTCCCATTGTGATCAAAATTCTCATTTCTCATTTCAATATAATTTCTCAAGATGAATATAATTACTTTTATTCCAATTCATCCATGGGACAACAAAATTCCCACACTTAGAGTAATCTTAACCATTTAGTCACTTTAAGACTATATCAACATTTTTAACAACAATTTCCAAAACTTCAACAATTCTCATATTCCATGAAAACCATCATTTATATGTAAACAAATAAATAATTTTTCAAACATCATTTATTTTGGCACACAAAATAAATATAACAATATCTTCAAAGTTTGTCAACATCTTTCTTAAAAACCTCCAATTTCTAAGTTTTCTTATCAAAACCACTCATCTTCATTTATTGAAAGAAAGTCACTAAAAACATCTCTCTTCAATCCTCATAGTTCAAAACCCTCAATTTCTATTTTAAAAGGAATAAGAAAGTCAACCCACTTCTTTTTTTTTTTTTTTTTAAAAAAAATCTCTCATCTTCTTGAATCAATAATCAATTTTCAAAACAAATCAAATGATGATTTCGAAAATCATCTAGATCTTGCAAAAACATATATATAACTATATTTCAACATAACCGTTTTTCATGCCAAGCTATTTAAAGAGGTAATATTTTTACCAAATTCTCTACCAATAACAATTTCACAACTTTTTCTAAAATTACTTAACCAACATGATATTTACATCAAAAATTATGAAATATGTCCAATAATAACATTTTCAAGGTTATGAGTTTGAAAGTCCACATTTCACATTTTTATTTTCATAAAAATGAACACAACTTAATCATTAACATATCATCTTTTATAAAATATCAAGAATATAACACTTTTAGAGTTTTTAATCCCAGAACAACTCTATAATCCCAACTTAAGCATTTACTCAATATTCATCAACATAAATTTATTTTTCTCAAAAATAAATTCCAAATCAAAGATAAAAAAAAATATTTCAACTTAATGTTTCTCAAAATAAATAATCTAATCATAATATGATGTAGATACAATCCATACAACTATTAAAATTAAATTTTTAGATTTTTAGCAACAAAATTTCAACATAAGGTGGTCTTTCCAAATCAACCTCAAAATACTACTTTTCTTGACATCCCAATATAATTATTCTTCCAAAAATTACTTAACAAAAATCTGAAAAAAAATATGTATATGTAATATCTCTTATAATGATATATTTTCTTAAAATAACCCTAACATAGCTTTAATATAAAAATAGGAAGAAAGTCCCTACCTCAAATATGAAAAAAAGATAATCCGAAAATGTAAACATCACCCGATCATGAATTCGAGAACACCATTGCGAAGATCATGACGAGCTCTCCAACTTTTATTTACAACACTTTTGCGAAATCTCACTCTAAGGACTCCCATTTGAAGCTCAAAGATTGAGCAACAATGGAGGAAAAGAAAAACAAAGAGAGAGAGAGAGAGAGAGAGAGAGAGAGAGAGAGAGGGGCTCAAAATCAAAAAAGGAAAAGTAAAAGTGGAAGAAAAGAATAGCAAGCATCGCCAACCTCACGTGTGTTGTCGCCCACCACACAATTGTATTATTTAAAATTTATAATAATACCTCAAAATTTTATAATATAAAATGATATAATTTTTCTCAACACAAAATATAATATTTTTGTACACCACAAAATATAATATTTTGCTCACTACGAAATATTCACATTTTCATTCTTTATAAAATATAAAATTTATCACCACATGGTACACACCATAAAATCAACTATCAAATATTTATTATAACCCCTATATAATAAGTAATAACTCCCAATGTGGTTACTACCAATCACATAATTAAAAAGGACCAAACAGTTAAACATAAGTCACTAAACAAACTCAAATTAAATTAAATCCAAGTCATGGGTCTCACCCATAAGCCAAACATGGTCCAATTATATACCAAGATAGACCCAACAAATTTATCCAAATCATGATCTAAACATTCAAAATTAAATAACAAAATTCTTCTATAAATTAAACTGAACACCAATCAGTCCGTGAATTTTCATATAATAAATACTCATCATTTAATTCTGAAATTTTTATCTAACGTGCTAGACTCATATGAGAACAATATATAAAATTTTCATAACTTTCTGAGATCGGGAACTATTTTTAAAAAATACAAAACCAAACTGTTTTCGCACAAAATTTACACAGCAATCAAATTTAAAAATTTGCTCAATTAAATTATGCACTGGCTATTTAAAAAAAAAAATTGGGTCATTACAATGACCTAGGCATGTATTAGTGCCTTGTTGGACGCCTCATTTATTTGACTAACACTAGACCTGATTTGACATTTGCAGTTAGTGTTGTGAGTCAGTTCATGTATGCACCTCGTACAGAACACCTTGACGCGGTTTATCACATTTTGAGGTATTTGAAGACTTTTCTTGACTTAGGATTGTTCTTCACAGTTGGTCTCCAATCTAGGCTCTCCTATTTCACAGATGCTGACTATGAAGGATCTAAGACAAATAGGCATTCCACTTCTGGCTTCTGTACTTTCTATGGTGATCATCTTATCTCATGGAAAAGTAAGAAGAAGGCAGTTGTTTCTAGGTCTTATGTAGAGGCTGAGTATTGGGCTATGGCACATGAGACATGTGAGATTCTTTGGCTTCGCTTTATTCTAGCAGGGTTGGGTGTTGAGTAGACTATTCCTTCCTCTTTATTTTGTGATAACAAATCTGCTATCATGTTAGCCTTTGATTTTGTGCTTCATGAGCATACCAAGCATATCGAGGTAGACGTACACTTTATCAAAGAAAAGGTTCAGACTGGCATTGTATGTCCATCCTTTTTCTTTTCTTCTCAATAGTTAGCAAACATGTTCACAAATATGTGGGACTAATGTTGCTCTAGTCTTCCATTAACAAGGTGCGTTTGTTGAATATCTTCATGCCAGCTTGAGAGGGAGTATTGAATATAGAAACTAAAATATTATGTTGAATATAGGAATTAGAATAGGAATTAGAATATTTTTATTTGGATTGTAGGAATCTCTTCTTGTTTATATTGTTTCCTAAAATTGTATTATCAATATATTATATATATGGCTTCTACCTCATTCAAGGTAAGCCAATTCAATTCTTTTCATTCTATTCCCTAGACACCACTTTATATTGGGTTTCCTTGGGCTTTGAAATTCTTCAAGTCCACGTTATACTCTAATTGTTTATTATTCTGCGAAGTTCAATTTAAAGTCCACAATTCAATTATAGGACCTTGAATGTTACTTTGCTCTATGTTACATGGACTCGGGTACAGGTGTCGAATGCGGGTATGTATCTAGATGTCGGACTCATCAAATCATAAATTTAAGGGTACACGGACTCGGCAAAAAAATGTCATATTTTTATATTTTTAATCTGGTATGTGAGATAAAATGGTACTATATGTAACTTGCAGTGTCAAAATAACATTTATAACAATTGTACAACAATATGTACATATAATAATAGTGTTATATACAATTATATAAGAAGTATCCATTGAAAATATCCGACATATATCTCATACCCTTGTCCGAGTGTCAGGTGCCCGACATAGGTATTTCATTTATTTTGAAGAGTCCATGTAAGATAGACTTTGCTACACCCTAATCCAAATTCGATTTTGGATGCACTAAAAATATCATATAGTCAAAAGCACATGTTAAAGTGTAAAAGAGGAGGTAACTATGAAAATTTTGAAATATTTGGAATGGATGTCCAAATCATGTCATGGACAACAAAAACAATGAGGTATTTGAAACAGATCATCGAAATCGTAAATTTTAATAGAAACATAATCATATTCATGACTGCTTATATCCAGAATTACTTGACTCTGTAAGAAATTAAGTTACAAATAAGAGCAGGTTAATTCACAGTTTGAGAAGCTAGGCCCAGTGCAGGTTCTCGTGGTAATACTGCAGCCACCCCTCCATCAGCCAAAGCCTCTATTACTAGGTAAATATATGCTGGGCTGCTACCACTTAACATTTTGAGGAGAAAGAAATATATCGTTATTCGTTACAAAAAACAATTCATTCATCTCTATCCATCCAAATAAAGGAACATTCCTACAATTCCATACATGGGTTCGTATGTCCACCACTGAATGGAAAAGAAGGAAAACTTCTAGCATGGACCCACAAGCCCATATATAAAGCCAACAATAGCAGTGCCTATAGGCAATAGGCAAATGAAAGATGCTAGGACTTGTATGTGGGGTATTTAATTAGCATGGTTCTTAAATCATAATAAACCACATACCTCAGCCTAGTTATTGCCTCAGCCTAGTTATTGCATCAAACAACTTCTCATCAGCTTTCCATATCTTGCCAATTGCCCCAAACAACTTAGCTATTAACTCTCCATCTTCCTCTGTTGCAGCTGCTCCCAAGCTCATAACTACGTAAAGGCAGACAAAATTTTAAAACTAAATATTTGCAACATTGATGAAAATCAGAAAATGAAATCCAAGCTCGGGGGGAGAGTTGGATTGCTAATTTTCTTTGACCCAAAATATAAATGTATTCTGATGAACAATTTAAGCTTTTAAGCCCAAGAAGTTGTAAACAAATCCTAAAGCTTTTGTCATAGATACATCAATGTGTGTTTAACTACCATGTTTCTGGAAGACAACAATCTTCCCATAAGAAACATTCTCCCCATTACTTCCTATAATATATAATTCAAAGATAGTATATTTGTTGCTGACATGATGCAGCTTAGTTGATGCAAGATTCACATCAAGTTCCTAGATATTTTTGGGTTAAATGATGGAACCTTATCTCTCTTCATTTCCCCCTATAGCTTCTCTCTGTGTCCTCTTTCTTCCTACTATATTCTTTCTTCTCTGCTTCTACTGCATCTCCACTTCTTGACTACCCCTTCTGCTCTGGTTCTTCTCTTTATTGTTTCTTTTTTTGTTTCTTCTATATCTCAATTTCTCTCTCAATTTTACTGTCACGTTTATTTGCACATCACATGTTCAACAAAATTGTTCTGAACCACATTTTCAGATCTGGCATCCTTAACCACATTTTCACAAGAAAATGCTTTCCAAGTGTTATTGGTAACAAATCCCAGTGAACTCTTCACAAAGCTTCCACATCTTTCTTTCTTTCTTTTCTTTTCTTTTTTTTTTTTTTTTTTTTTTTTTTTTTTTTTTTTTTTTTTTCCAGTGAGTACATGACTCGGATCTTGATTAAAGTACCAATACTATCTCTAAATAGATTGCTTATCCACTTAATATGGATATAAGACACCAAATGGTGAAAGAAATTAAAAACTAGAATATACTGCAATTTAGAGTCCCATTCAACTGCTATTACAGCGGAAGTCAAATTTCCCAAAATACACACCATCATTACAAACTTCAATCACTTCGTGATCTAGAATTTGGGATTAACCAACGTCCCTATGCAATTTTGCAGTGACTCAGTCATCACAAATAAAAGGGAAAACCAAAACGACGACTAAAGAATTCAGTAATCTCATACTCAACAAGAACAATGTTGAGCCCTTGTAACTTGCATCACTATTTTCACTGGTTTATGATGTACGATAGTTTATAAGAGAGGAATCTTAGTTTTTTAAAAAAATATTGATTACTAGGAATTGTGTAACTTTCAGCTCTTAGGTTTTCCCATGCCCTTCATACTGATGAATGTTGAACAAGATGACTTTACAAATGCATAATAACGAAATACTCATCACGAAAATTTTAATTTGGTAATAGACCGACATCTTCCCATTTAAAGGAAATACTAAAGAAAACATATGACACCATAAGAAATTGGGCAAGAATTGATACCAGATGCCGCCTCCCCTATAGCAGCAGGAGTATTCGATATCACCCTAGTAAATCGATTGTGACCGGCCCATTCCTGGATGAAACAAAATAATAACTTTAATAAAAATGTGTAAATATAACAGATATCCAAACTGGAAATAGTGTAGTCTCCATAATATAATTTCATTCATAAAAAATGCTAGAAGGGTGAATAACAGAGACACAGGACAGAACATCATAAAGCACATGAAAGAGCAGATATTCTCAAGAACGGACGCAGCTGAAATGAGTTTGCACCAATGGCATCTCAAGTCATTAAAAAATTAAAAACATAAACTTTGAGAGATAATTTAGAATGAGTTAATTAGACTAAATGTTTTGCTTAAAATCCCACACACATAGTTGCATTGCACATCCACCCAGGGCCATCGTATAATGGAGCAGCAAGAAACAGAATGAGGAGTGAGGAGTTTCGTGGTACACTGGTGAATCAAGAGCATCATCGGAATCAAAGCCATGAGGAGTGGAGAGAAAAGCAAGGAACTTTTGTGGACAACTTCTTCAATGAGGTTAACCAGGTTTTGGTTGTAACAAATCTCGTCTTAGATCTTATAACTCTTAATTCATAATGGATTGTTAGTTGGCTAGGTGTACCCATAGTTTTTCACCTCGAGGAGAAATCTTGAAGGTTTTCCATGATAAAATTTCATGTGTCCTAGATAATAATAAGCATAAGAGCTTAAAGAGCTAAGAGTTCATTAAGAAGTGTTTCATATTTATTTTCTATGCAATTGATGTGCAGATACTTATGATTAATTGATCATATTTTGAGATTAATATGTGATAGGTTAGGTTTAATGGTGGTGTGTTTGTGGGATACAAGATTGACTACAAGCAATTACAAATTTTTACATGTATATAAACAACAATAGAATAATATGGGTTGAAAATTTCTGAAGCCGTGATGGCTTTGTTTTGATGCTAAATTGTGGGAGTTCCTAATAGGCGATTGGGTTAATTTATTCTATTGTTGTTACAAGAAAAGAAAGATGGGTGCACATAATAATTGTTTATGCGGTGTAATATTTTATTAGGTTTGTGAGATTGAGGTGGATCTTGATAATTTGAGACTAGCTTGGGAAATATTATTTTAGCTGTTTGAGGTAAGTAACCCTCTATCACTGTTGGTTCATTTTTATTCCTATCGAATCGTTTAAGATCATAAATATTTATTTATAGCCTTCATGTTCTCTTAAAATAAAATATGGGTCAAGTATAAAGCAACATCGAATATTATTATGAAAATTATTTGAATATTTGGTGAAACTATTCTGAAAATTGTACTAAACGTTTATTCTGAAAATATTGAATATTTTATTTAAAAGTTGTGTATTGTTTGAATTTTGAACATCACTCTAGTCTGACTATGATTTGGACCCTAGCCAATGGGGGTTATTTATCGGCACAGAAACTAGTTTCTTTTGGGACTTTACCACCGGCCTATGTGTGGTTCTGGGCCTTGTCACGGGCTAAGTGACCATAGTCATTAAGACTTGGCTTTTGTGAATCAAATCATTAAACCATCTGAATATCGAACCATCGATTTGAACAATGAATTACTTTGAATTCTCTTGTTGGCTTTTCATTTAAAATGTATTGTACATTGTTTATTTTTAGCTATGAAACCATCTTACAAATAATTGTTCATTTATTGAACTGTAGAAAAAATTATATTTATTGGTAATCGATTTATTTATTTATTTATAGTTGATCCAACTAGCAGTGATGGTTGGTTATTTACTGGGCGATCTAGCTTACCCTTTTTTTTTTTCAGATTCTGAAGAGTAGAGCTGCGCGAGATTTTTACATGTGAGAGTGCCGAGAGTAGGACTATGATTTAAGTACTTGGATTATTGTTTTGTTAATGGATTTTATTAGTAGACTTGGTGGATAATTTCATATAATAAGAATAATCAATTTTTATGGATTTTAGCATTATGATAATTAAGGATTTAATTGGAGTATTTTACATTGTTGGTTATGTGTTAGGCTCTTAGCCTTGCATGCTCACTTAAATGAGTGTGCGGTGTTGTCACGGAATTTGGGGCGTGACAATGTAGTTACTCAGTAATTCAAGCATCAAATGCACATGTATGTTCTTTTTCTTTCCACAGCCATGACAATAACAGGTTGCCATTGAAGAATATGGCCGGCCCTGAGTTTTCGGGGCCTAAGGCGAAACAAAAACAGAGGCCTATATTCACAAAGAAAAAAAAATTACCCTATTTCGTATCACTACATACCAAAATAGATATCAAAATGGATTCATACGGGAAAAAAAAAAAAAAAAGGAAAACTTTATTCAATTAAAATGTATTGCGTATGTATTGAATTAATTGTTGTTTATTGAATATGTTGTTTATGAGTGTGGTTGAGTGTGATTGCGTGTGGTTGCATTGTTGTTTATTGAATATGTTGTGTATGAATGTGATTGAGATTGAATTAATTGTTTATTCCACTAAAATTTGATAAACAAGGAAAGTAAAAAAAATTAGGACAAATTTATTTATTCCACTAAAATCTGATAAAGAAAGAAAATAAATAAAAAAATTAGGGGCCCTATTTTGGGCTATTAACATTTTGTATGTATATGTAGTGTTTCTCATTCAAGGGCCACCAACATTTTGTATATATTTTAATTTCAATTGAGTCAAACCACACTTAGAAACAAATATGGGCTCAACAGAATATTTTTGAGTCCTTTAAATTGGTCCTAAAACAACAAAAATAATTTGGACCTATTTATATTTGTACTATACTATAATACTTTTCTAAATTTTGGGGCCCTATTTTAGGTCAATTTTTTGGGGTCTAAGGCACAGGCCTCAATGGCCTTAGCCCAGGGCCAGTTCAAAATATGTGTGTATATATTTTTGAAAGCATACAAATGATGTTGAGGTGCAAATAGTGACTTATAAAACAGTCAAAATAGATTCACATGTTCTAGGAAAAGTTAGGGAAAGGTTGGCCCTCAATGCACTTTGGTTCTCAGCCTGGTCCACTAGAAGTTGAAAGTCACCTAGAAGTTCAAACCTAATATTTTGCAATTACATCTTTTAAAATCTATTCACAAACTTATACAAAATTGAGGGCCTTAGCCTTAAGTAACTGTAGCAAATGGAAAGGAAATCACACTCTAATTAGTATTATTTTTCACAGAAGAAGCATGGATTGGACTTTTAGTTTCATTGGTCTTCCTAATCCATTAATATCAAATAAGCACAGAAAAATTATAGTTCTTTCTTCTTTTCAATGTTGTAAACCACCAAATCAAAGACTTCTTCCCAAAGATGGTAAAAAGAAAATAATAAAATAAATGCCTTACTCCTTGTTTGCCAAAGGTGTGATGATTTTGTTGATAAGTGTATTTCCCCTCTCAGCCAATAGTGAAAAATTATTAAAAAAAAATTGAAAATATGTATGAAAGAAAGAGGAATTTCAAACATAATTGCAGGTTAAATTACTTTATTAATTCACACAATCTTATTAAATGAAAGACTATTGGAGCCTGGTCAACAGTCTTCCAAAAGAAAAAGAAAAGAAAAGAAAATTAACACTAAAGCTAATTTCAATTCATTCTCTGTATACATTATTATATTTAAAATGTTGTGAAGACAGCAAAAAATCATCTTAACAGATATAAGAAACAATATAATATAAGTTCTAATGCTCCAAGCATGACAAAATTTTCCACCTCGTGGCCTATGAGATGGAAAATTTAAATTGACCACGCCATCTTGATTCACAAACTCAAGCAGCCACTTTCACATGTCAACAATTGCCAACAGGTCAAAAACAGCAAAGGTTTATTTGTTTATTTATTTTCATATGTTTCACTCTGTTACATATACTCTTCTACTTACCCCATGTACCCGTATCCATAGGATATGATATGGGTAAAGGAATGCATATCCGTACACAATTTAGACACTTAGATCCTCTAATTTTATATGATAGTTTGAAGAAAAGACACTCACTTTTGCTAGTAAAGAAACCTTTCTCGTTTGTTACACCAATGGGTGATATAAATTTCAAATTTTCCCTAAATCTCATTTAAATTGAAGTAAATTTCTAAATAATTCACATTTTATGCAAGAATATTATACAATATGCGATTTATATACATGTTTAAGGCATGTCTCCATACTATACCCAACTTTTGGATACATATCTCAATATCCTAATATTTTGGTTTAGGAAGATATGATGCTTGGATACACTCGCACTTGGTACTCGCATCCTAATCCATGTAACACAACAAAGCAGACTATTATACAATATTAAGAGCACAAACAAGCATTCTTAATAATCTATGCACACAGATTTAACACAAATAACCCAATAAAACATAAACTGAAGATACATACTCATAGACATTAAAATTAAGACAACTCTACTCTTGCAAGGGGCATGTCACATAATATTAAAATAGTATGGAATAAGGCTTTCAACTTTAGTAAATTCATCTATCAAGGAATATTATGTGCAATGAGCCATAAACAGTTGTGGTGCCAAACTTGGAGGTCTGTTAATTTTACTCCTTCAGCAACAGAAACCAGAAGCTGCTTCTCTGACAGTAGCAGTCTCAATTGCAAGGCCACTTCCTTAACTGCAATGCCATGAAACAACATAATGGCAATGGTAAATAAAGAATTATATGAAAATTGTTATACATAAGTCAGATATTATAATCTAATGTACATAGGAACAAGCTATCCAGAAGAGCACTTAAAAAATAATTTTATTGCATGAGAAGCTAAAGAGAAGAGGTCCCATATAAGGAGCTCCCTCAAATGATTCAAAACATTCACCGTTTACCTACTACACCAAATCAACAATGTTATAAATATGCATATGCATAAAAAATTTAATGTTAATTGCACCACGTGCAGATTAGTACTTTTTTTTCACCATCAGTAGAAGATGACAATAATCTCTATAGGAGAGACAAAACAATGTAGCAATTTCAGGAGAAAAACATGCATATAGATTCCACTAATAGGTGATTTATTCCTTTTTGCTTACTATGTACACTAACTGCTGATGATTTCACAGAAAAGCCATGCAAGGAAATAAACGGCTTTTTATTGGGTTTTCAAGAATATCTTAGTGATTTAATGTTCCCTAGAGTCATTTTTATTTGGAAACATCATTAGTCCTGTACATACATGTATATTGCTCAGATTAGTATCAGTGGGCGGCAAAGCTGCATCAACTTTTGAAGTGCAAAGAATTTTTTAGATCACCCTTTTTGTATTACTCTTATACATGCATATAAATAGTATAAATCAACATTAATGGGAAAGAGAGGGGCATCAACATGTGAAGAGCAAAGAATTTTGTAGATCCATCAGGGGACCATGGCCCTACCTACCACCCTAGCCATATTGCATATGAGAAGATCTAAAACTTTCCAAAACTTCATTTTGTTCTTATCCAAGATTGTACATGAACTTACAAAGCACTCCAAGGAATCTCATTATGTTCTCATCCAAGTTTCTGATGAACTTAGGAAAACAATATGTGATAAAGGTGGTTTTTTCATGAACTAGTTAGGCCAACATTTGTGTTCTCCTCCTGTGTTGCAAACAGCCACAATATGCTATTTGAGTAAGTGGGAGATGTACTATTGTACCTGTTGGAAAATTTGTTGGGTTTAGAACCCGGAACCAACTACATCGCCCATTGTGGCATGACCCAGTTAGGAGAGATCAAATAATAACAGATTTTATCTATTATTTGAAATCTGAATAAGGGATAATTATTAATATGAGATAAATATTATCTGGAATAATATACCTATCCTCATAGGGGTCTTTCAGCTTTCCTGTATTATGTACAAGGAAAAAAATACAGAAACTCTCACTCTTGTTCTCTCTCCATAGAAATACAATTTAGCCTTTGTACTGTGAGTTGTGTGGGTAGAGCTCTAGTAGTGCTACTCCGTTACTTGTGGAGTGAAGAAGAAGATTCTAAGAGTTCGTGATTCATCAATCAATCTAGATTCGTCGTGTGATTTGTTTACCTGAAAGGTATGCCCGAATCCATATTCTTCTGCTGCGTATATGTATATATTTATTCCTACATCACTAATCAAGTCAAAGGTATCTAAGATATTCATACCTAACAATTTTCCACAAAGTGATGATGACACGAGCTAATACATCTGCACAACTAGGACATAAAGTTCATTATTTTATAGTTCGACAAATTAAAATTAAAATGAATTAAACTTGATAAAGTATGTTTACTGCATCTTGACCATTTTTGCCAATACCAATAAACTAACGGACTAACCTATAAAGCCCTCCTTCACCTATTACCCAAACATAAGGACAGAGCATTTACACTCTGTTTGGATGGAGAGGTTTGGTGAGAAAAGAAAGGAAATGGTGAGAATGAGGTTTCTCATCACTTATTTGGATGATTAATGAGGTGAGTAATGGTGAGAAAGGAAGATAAATGGTGAGAACGACAAATCACTCATAATTTAAGTTCTGTTTCTCACCAAAAGTGGTGAGATTTGGTGAGAAACCAAAATTACTCTTTACAAAAAAAAATTATAATCCTAAATTATCCCGCTAAATACAATGCCAATAAAATAAAAAGACATGTATTCTATTTTAATCAATGTTCATCCAAATAAGAAAGTGAGAAACCAGAGTCATTTCTTTTCTTCGCTCACCTAGATGAGAAACTACAATCATTTCCTTTCTTTTCTCACCCCATGATCCAAACAAAGTGTTAGTTTTGAACTAATAATACTTTGAGTTTACATATCTATTATAGAAATGTCAACTTAAGGATCTGAAGATTTTTCACTCTTGATTGTTATGATTCATGGGACACATTTACCCTTAGTGAAGTTGTCCAATCGAATGAAGAATCATTAAGATTTAGTACAAACTCTAAAAATATATATATATTAAATAATTCTATATATGAAATATATATATTTTTTTGGTATATATTATAAAATGCTTCTTATATAAGAACATGATTATGGCTTCGTTTGGCAAGGGCTTTTGTGGCTATTTTAGTCACAAAAGACAAAATAGGCTATTTTAGCCATAACAAATAAAACATCACATCCAACCCATAATCATTACAATATTCCCTCACAAAAAAAGTCAAAAAAGCCAAAAAGCCAAAAACCCTTCCCAAACCAAGCTTTTTAGCCCAGGCTAAAATAGTCAAGAAAGTCAAAAAACCAAAAAGCCAACCCACTTCTCAAACGAAGGCTATATCGTCTAATTGAGAAGACATTGCCTTCTTAGCAAAAGATATGGCCCAAATCCCAAAAACTATAGAATTATTAAAAAATTATAACATAATCTCACTTAGCATTCAAAAAATGAACTTAGGAACCATATATAGAGTATCATAAGAAGAATGAATTCAAAGAAATCCTTTGTTTTAAAACCTAAAACACTTTAAGGGAGTGTATGCTTATTGTTCATAAAAAGTTTTACAAATAACAGTTGTAGGACCATTGGGTCTAACTGACCTGACCCATGTGATACTGAATCATATTTATTTCACTAAAATACCAATAGATATTCATGGACAAAACTTAATTTAACCTTAAACATACTCAAAAGATGTATTATGACATTTTTCAAAGAAAAAGAAAAAATTAAGAATTTGTTGGGCTTGACCAGACCTGATTGGATCTTATTGATTTCAAACTCTCTAGTCGACAAAAGTACAACAAATCATACATAGGTATTTGTTATATTCATATTAACATCCACTGAATTTTAGCTTGCCCGAACACCCAAATTTGTGCATGCTGATTGTCCTGCCGGTCATCCGACAACAAGCACTACAGGAAATCGCACTTTTGCCAACTAAAAATTTAGTCGGCAAAAGTCCATTTTTAGTCGGCAAAAATTATCCGCGACTAATTTTTTTGATCGCCACTTTGGTTGCCAATTGAGAGTTGGGAAAAGTAATTAGCGACTAAAAATTTTTTTAGTCAAGAAAAAGTTTTATTTGCCGACTAAATTTTTGGTCGCTAAATATATAATTACCACGACTAATTCATTTTGTAGCTAAAACACTTTAGTCACCAAAAGTGATATTTTCCAGACTAAATATGTTAGGCGCCAATTGTCACATTCCCCGACCAAAAATGTTAAGTCGCCAAAAGTGATGTTTGCATGACTAAAACTTTAGTCGACAATAGACCTATTCGTGACCAAACACTTTGCTTGCCAAACTTAATAATTTTACCGACTAATTATTTAGTCGCCAAATGTACCCTTTCGCCTACCAACATTTTGGTCGCCAAATGTACCCTTTCACCTACCAACAATTTGGTCGCCAAATGTGAATAGAGAAACACTGACTAATCACTCGGTCGCCAAAAGAGGAAAAACCAAACCAAATTTTGGTCACCAATTCACTTCTTTTTGTTTATCAAATAGAAATAAAATATAAAAAGAATTCCATTTGACCTGTATGATATATAATAATCCATCCAAACTATTGAATATAACTTATAATTTGCAAGAATCATTCAAACCAACAAAATTAACTAAATCATGAACATCCAACAAAATACATAAATCAGCCAATACTTAACCTGTTTAATTAAAGTCATCAACCATTATAAGTTTTCATCCACAAGTAATTCCAAACTACATAATCGTCCAATTAAAAAGGTCATGTAATCTATATAATCATCCAATTCACATCCGTCTAGTATGAAAATTTAAAACATAACAAGTAGTTGTTATTATGTTTTGAATTTTTATCCATATGCATCTATCCAAAAATATAACTAGTAGTCTACCCAAATATTTTTCATACACATCTATCTAAAAATATATATTCCTTCAAAAAATGTAACAAGTGCCAGCTAGTCCTGTACAATTCAGCTTCGTACATGAGTTCATCCATCTATACAAAAGAAAAACAAAAATAATGTGCGGTAATTTTTTTATGAAAATATTTGCACATCACTCGAATTGTAAAATTGGACAAAAATTGAAAAAGGTCCATGGAAAGTAAAGATAACATAAACAAATTAAAGGAATATCAATACCATTTTATAAATAAAACAACATTTATATGTATACATCCAATCAACATTAAAATTCTATCAATATCAATGCACCACTTTCTCTTACAAGTTTGTTTAATCTAAGACAAGATGACCATTATGGTATTGGGGGATGTTCCTAATTTTCGCCCCCAAACGGCCCGTTTTCGCCTTTTTCTCACATTTTTTTTTTGTCTAAATCTCACACTGTACGTCCTATCAACATGCCGCTTGCTCTCACAAGTTTGTTTAATCTAGGCCGAGATGAACGTTATGATCTTGGGGTTGTTTGGGGGCTGTTTCCAATTGTTGCCCCCAAATGGCCCTTTTTTGCCTTTTTCTGTCACATTTTTAATCTAAATCTCTAATCATACGTCCTGTCCACGCGCCACTTGCTCTCACAAGTTTGTTTAAAAGAAAGTGAAAAAGATAGCTTACAACACAACTATGTTCATGCTAGCAATGTTGAAAAACTTGGCATAGAATATTGGTAGATCAAATTCTAGTTTTGGGAACATAGTGAAATCCAAAACTTGCATTTAGTTTATGGAAACTAATTAGGAAAGGGTAAAACAGTCAAATTGT